AGAAGCAAATCCAGGCTGCAAGGCACAGTTGCTTCAGAGCAAACTGGGTGCATTTGCTAAAAATAAGGGTTTAATCTGAAAATAGGAAAGGGTGGAAATGGAAATGGAAACTCTGTGGGAATATCTGGTATTTTCTTTCTGGACTCAGCAAGAGAAGAAGGGTTGAAATGGAGGCGTTCTGAATGAGAAAATATTTTAGGATACTCACCATGGGAAAGGAAGGTAAATGAAATGGAAGGAATCCTTGGGGAATGAAGTGACCACCACCCCAACACTCACAGGAGAGAGGATTTAAGAGTTCAGGTTCTGGAGTTGGGCAGATATGGTTAAAATCTGGGCTCTTCCACTGAGTGTGTGACCTTATAAGCTGGGGAAGTTACAAGCTATGCGAGGCGCAGTTTCTACCCGCGCAGAATGGGAATGGGAAGTGAAAGAATACTTAACCCATCAATGCTGGTAAGAATGAACTGCAGCAATATCTGTATAGTACTGAGCACACAGACTGGGAGAGAAAAAGCATTCAATAACCTTTGCTATTGATATTACTACTACTTTTACTACGATTACTACTACTGACATGAGTAATTAGTAAGTCTGTGCCAATAGAGATGTTTAGAATTTTCCATAAAAAGAAGAAATGTATTAGTTTATTGAAGTGGGATGACTTGTCTATCATCACACAGTATTGAATGTTTCCTCCTAAAAATAATTTTAAAGAACTGTGCCTAAATAGTGAATTACCAGGCAAAGTTGGGGAAGTGGGTGCAGAAGGGCAGGTTAGGAAAACAGCAGTTATTAGGCCAAAAACTATGAAATTTGAAGGTAGGAACATAAATTTCTCCCTTAAACCCCTCTCTCCCCCACAAAAAACCACACAAAATATTAAATAAAATTGAAAAAGTACACCACCTTCTAAGAGAATTAACCCTAACAATCTCTACTGATTGATAAACAGCATCATTGATGGATAAACAAATTATTATTTCATCCATAACGTTCTGTAACAGGGATTAAAAAAACCCACTGCCATGGAGTCAACTCCAACTCATAGCAACCCTATAGGACAGAGCAGAACTACCCCAATAGGATTTCCAAGGAGAGGCTGGTGGATTTGAACTGCTGACCTTTTGTTTAGTAGTCGTAGCTCTTAACCACTGTGCCCCCAGGGATAGGAGTATGTAAAAATGTGAAGGTATGATTTTTTTTTTTTAAAAAGGATAAAGAATATGCACCACAATGTCAACAGTCGTTATCACTGTAAGACAGACTTACAAGCAGTATAGTTTCTTTCTTTCTTCTCTGCTTCTTTTCATACCTGCATCCTTTTAGTTTTTCTGCTACAAATAAGTAATTGTGCAGTAGAAAATTCAAAATTATTTGATCAGTTTTCAGTTGAAAACATCTGAATTATACGCAAGCCTTACACAGAGCCAGCACCTGGGGATTTCACTCTGGGCTTTGGCAAATGGGGCATTTCGTAGGCAGTGAATGCCTGTCTTTGCACCTCTTTCAGCCCCTTCGGCAATCCTTCCGTAATTGCGCCACAGTCTCTCTGCCAATACTTGATGGGAGTTTCACAAAACGCACCTATAGCTAGTTATACTCACAAATTGGTGGACCTTCTAAAATTCTGGCTTAAAAACAAAAACAAAAAAAACCCTTTATTTTTCTGTTCTTAATTCTTTAGAAACTTACCTAACCTTCCAAAAATCGAGATGAGCAAATATTATCGCAGAATGAACCCTAAAAAAGGCAAGTCACCAGACAACACTGTAGAGAAGTTATTGGCTATGTGTCACACCAAAAAAAAACAAACCCATTACCATCAACTTAGATTTGGACTCACAGTGACCCTACAGGACAGAGTGGAACTGCGTAGTATGCAATAATTTGTTGTCATGGTTCTAGGTACTAATCCCATTGACAGTACAGAGGGAAGAGAGCAAGGAGCATTGAGACAGAAATCACTGCCATGTGTAAAAACTTAGATGCTTAAAAAAAAAAAAAAAAAAAATGCAGGCACGAGAATTCAGCCAGAAAAAAAAAAAAGACATGCCAATAAAAAAGCTGCTTCTTAAAATTTGGCTGGCAATACCCTTCCCTTCCCCAATGGATACTCTTAGTAAAGAAAACATGGTAGATTTTTTTCTCCCTTGCCTGTATTTGATTTCCAATTAAAATGAAATATAAACTGAAACACCACCTGGATTGTAGCAATATCCAATCCCCGTCCTCCACCTCCCCCCCAACTTTTTTTTAAAGAAGAACCTGGGCTTACATATACAAAAATTTTGCTAAACGACCCATGGCAAATTGCGTAATGCCAGTAAAAGTTGTGTTTTTTAACTTATGAGCCCCAAAGATTTTATCTGAAATAAAACCCTGATTCAATTCAGATTCTGGAAGCAAACTGTGTCCTTAACGCTGCCTCTAAATTTAAAACATTTGCGTGTGGGGCCCCTTCAGTAATGTTGCTAGTAGGTATGGAGGAGAAATTCTGTATTTACTAGGATTTGTGTTTTCTTTTCTAAAATGGTAAATTGTGGCACTAATTGGCTACAAGAACAGGTTCCCTGCAGTCTTCATGTAGAGGTGAATTTCCAAATGAAGAGTCTGACTGTCAGGGATGATTTCTCGTTTCCTTCCATTAATCACCTCAATGAGGCAAGGCACAAGAATTCCTGAATCCACTGAGGAGGGCTCTCCTTGGAGGTCTCCACCATGAATGCTTACAATGCCCTAAGGTGATTGGCTGTGAATATAAAGTGGATGGGTAGGCAAGAGAACAGAAAGATCTCAGGAAACAACTAGGATCCCTATTGGCCTCCACCTTGAGTCCCTAAGACTTCAACCATGGCCTTTTCCCATCCTCTCAATATAGCCATAAATAGCACATGAACATATGTTAGCAGGAATGCATGAATAACCTTCTTCCATTTATTGCTGGGTTTTAACATCAACCTCACTGGTTAAATTCGCTATTTGCACTAACTTAAATGTACAAAGTTTATGAACACCATACATCCTAAATTCCAGCTGATGCCTGAGGTGCTGGGCATGAATGGGTTTGGCCTGACAATGAAAGAGGAGCCAAGTCACTTAAAGGAACCTCCTCGAATTAAAACATCACCTTGTCTATTAGTTTCCCTTTCTTCTGTTCTATATTCCTCCTACAGATTCCATAATCTCATGTTGGGTCTAGTAACTTCTAATGGACTAACAATCTAATGATTCCTTATACAGCAAAGCCTGTGAAAGCTGGAACCTGTGTAAGGCGGAAACCTGTCAGAGAAGGAAAACGCAAATATTTTTCACTAAAAGGAAAGATACAAAGGCAGTAAGACTGCACCCTGTCCAAGGTGGAAAACTTGTGAGACCCGGAAAATCAAGGCAGTCCTGTCGAGTTCTGGTTCTCACAGGTTTCACTGTATTTTAAAACCTCTTAGCAAGGAAAAAATAGAACATGCTTTAGAGCCTGTCAATGGCTCCATCTCTAACATAAAAAGGGATTCTCTTAGCTTCTATAATACAGATTCCAAGAAACTTGTTTGACAGAAGGTTTGCTTTCTCTTCCCCTCTCCCCCCGACAATGTCTGTATCTTTCAAAAAGGCCCAAAGACACATCGTTGTTTTTTTTACCTTTTTTCCACGTAGCACCAAAATTATGTATTGAATAAATGAATCAAGGATGAAAATGAAACAAAACCATGCATTATCATTAATACAAACTAGTATTTCTTCATTCCAAAAGAGGTTGGTAAAACAAAGCCTATCTTTGAGAAAATGCTGTTTATTTGTTTGCATTTTCAACAACACTCTGGCAACACAATACTATGTCCTGGGTCACTATTACCATGGGAAAATATTTGACCAGTCACTCAAGGTACCTACTTACAAAGAGAAGCCCTAGTGGCGCAGTGGTTAAGCGCTCAGCTGCCAACCGAAAGGTTAGGTGTTTCGAACCCACCAGTCTCTCCCCAGGAGAAAGATGTGGCAGTCTGCTTCCGTAAAGATTACCGTCCTGGAAACACTGTGGTGCAGTTCTACTCTGTCCTATAGGGTCGCCATGAGCCAGAATCAACTGGACAGCAGAGAAATGAGTGTAATAGGAATGAGTATGCCCTAACCCATGTACCTTTTTTATAGCCACCGAAAAGAGAGAATTTAAAACATTAATGGTATTTAGCCACATACCAACTGCCATTATGTATACAAGAAACATATGTAGGTGCCCCATATTGCTATTATGGACAGCGGGAAGAAATTTCCAACACTAAAGCCTGTGTTATTGATGTTTTCTGTTATTTGCCCAGTTCCACCTGTATTTGTTTCTATCCCCGCCTCATTCACCTACTCTTTTCTCTCTTTATCCTTTATTTGGTTTCCTTCTCCATAAGACTTAAGTCCTTTTTTTGTTTTTTATTTTGTTTGTTATTTTAATGAAGCATTGGGAACTATTTCTCCAAAGATTAGTTTTCTTCAAAACAGTTAAAACATTTGACTGGCATGTTGGGGGCTGGAGGTGGCCAGGGGTCCACTCAAATCTTGGTCCCTCCCGTGTTTCTCACCACTGTCCCCCACAAGGGGGCTCTGAAGTCTTCTGCATGGACTGTGAGGGCTTGAATATCATCTCTTAAGACAGTCACTCAAGCCCTCTTGTTGTTGTTAGGTGCCATCAAGTTGATTTCAACTCATAGTGACTCTATACGACAGAGTAGAACTGCTCCATAGGGTTTCCTAGGCTGTAATGTTTACAGGAGCAGACTGCCAGGTCTTTCTCCCATGAAACTGCTGGGTGGGTTCGAGCCTTCAACCTTTCAATTAGCAGCCAAGCGCTTAACTGTTGCGCCACCAGGGCTCCTTACTCAAACTCCAGATGTGTTAAAAGATGTTGCTTACAGTCAAACAGACAAACATAAAACATTCATAGCAGTTAAGTGTTATAAGGATAACACATTCACCCACCACCCTCCGCACCCCTCGACTCCAAAGCACAGTACCTGCTGCTGCTGCTGGATGTGGGCGAGATCCGCCGCCCCGACGTCCACAGCCGGCGTCTCCCCGTTGGACCGCCCCTCCCGAAGACCGCCGCACTCTAGCAAGTGATTGCCGCTGCTTGACCCATTCTGAAGGGCTGAACCGTTACTTTTTGTCTCAGTCCCAGATTCTTGCATCATGACTCAAAACCCTGATAGAAGAATTTTTGGGATGGGGGGAGGGGATAAAAAAGCAGCTGTTAAAACAGTTGTTGTACAAAAGGAGAAGCGCCCTGTTTTAAATGTTGCCAAACACTGTAAACAGTTGGCATTTTCTTTCATTCAGTTTATCCAGTGGTCCAGTCTCCAACTTTACGGGTACGAGATTGTCGGTCCCAATTCAAGTGTCAGTCGTATTGCTTTAACTATATTATCTTTGTGCCGTTTAAAAAAAGAAATATTTCCAGGTGAACTTGGAATTTATGATTAAATTTCTCTGATGATATCTGGATGTTTTGCTTGAAAACAATGAGTCATCCTATCGCGCATATTAGCTATAACATCATGTTTTAATATATGCAGGCGTTATATAGAGATGCTACACACTTGCAGAAATATTCCCCAATTTTAGTCTATCAGGAGATGACACACATTACCAGGAGGCCCCCTGTGGTAATTCACGCTGAAAAACCTCAGAGTCACACACCTTGGAATTGTTTAGGTACTGAAACGCTTCAAAATTGGCCATTCCAATCAGAGAGGCCACTTATAGGGAAAAAAAATCACAAGTCCCCACTTTTTGAAAGCTTAATAAATTCAGACCCGTATCTTTCTCTGGGAGTTAAAAATGTCCTGAGAAATGCTATTCAAAGTTAGGTGTTTTTCATGCTCAATTATTGATCTGCAGTTTGGTTAAGGAGGTCTGGTGGTGCAGTGGTTAAGCACTCAGCTGATAACTGAAAGGTGGGCGGATCAAACAGTCCAGCAGCTCCATGGGAGAAACATGTGGCAGTCTGTTCCCATAAAGATTACAGCCTTATAAATGCTATAGGTTGGAATCAACTCGACAGCAATGGGTTTTTAGTTTGGTTTAAGGCCTGAGCGAGCTATGCCTTCTTATATTTACTTTGGAGAAATATCTTATCTTACCTAGGTAGACCTAAGGTTTGAATTTAAAAATACTGAACTTCTAATAGAAAAATATTTAGCGCAAAATGAGTAGCTAGAGAATACAGCCTATGTGTAAATATAGTTCATATTCCTCCTTGTTACTCCTTAGATACTAAACTATTATCCCTGGGAGCCAGCTCAGCTCTCAGGCTGGCTAAAGGTGTCTAATTATGACAAAAAAACAGACAATATCAATTGCTAATATCAACTGTTACCATCTATTGATTACCAATGTTGTACCAGGCCCTACTGCAGGTGACTCACATATATTCTCTAATTTAATCCTAGTAGCAATTGCTATTCCCAATTTGCAGATGAGAAAACTAAGGCTCAATGTGGGTTAATTCAATCCACCCCGGATTTATCACAGCTAATCTCAGCTGCTAACCAGAAGGTTGGAGGTTTGAGTCCACCTAGAGGCGCTTTGGAAGAAAGGTGTGGTCATCTACTTCTGAAAAATCAGCCACTAAAAACCCTATGGAGCATAGTTCCACTCTGACATACATGGGGTCACCATGAGTCAGAACTGACTGGATGGAAACTGGGTTTTTATGATGGAATCGGGATTTGAACCATTTCAGTCCAATGCCAAACGCTCTTCACCACACGCGTGTTCTTAAAATAACAGTGCAGTGGGGGCAAGACAATGAAAATGACAGCAGGGTCACACTCCAAATTCCTGAACTAGGAGAACTAAACAACAGTCAGGAAGACAGTTCACAATTCAAACATCAAAGTTGAGAAAACCTGAATAATTAAGACTTCCACGTGAAATACCTCAATCCCAGATAAAAGGCAGCAGAATGTTAATACAAATTGGATCTAATCATGGAAAGGCATATATGCAACCAGTGCCGCAGACTGCATCACATCACATGAAATACATAACAGCAGGGAAACTCAGACACTCTAGACGCCTTCAGATGAGGTTGTCCTCTTGGCGGGAAACTGGTTTCAGTCCGTTTTCTACAGATTTGTACCAAAAGCAAATGGAAGAATTAAAAGCCAAAAAAAAAAAAAAAATCACATCTTTCTTCATTTCCTTTCAGTGTCGTATGATCCAACTTGACTACAAATTTCATAAACCCAGAAGACATGTATTTTTTAAAAGTTAATCCAATTCTGAAGTGGATTGAGAATGGCATTTTTCACTAACAGGTGGGAAACAAACTGAGAAGCAACAGCTGATTCACTCTTGTTTCTTTAAATCAGATTTCCCAGTAATTATAGTCCTTTAAAAATTGCATTCATAGACTTACTGTCTGCAGAGTAAAGAATCCATCAAAAAACAACTAAAATCTTCTCTAAGATATAAAAGCCAGGCAACGAGCTGTGGCAATGCGAGAACCTTCCTCATCAGCAGAGAAAGAATCGATTTGTGACACCTAGGTGCTTTCCCTCCCCCACGTTTCAGTTTCTCTTCCTCAAACACACCCATCTGTACAGAAGTTATGGGGGCCTTGGTGGCGCACACAGTTAATGCACTCAGCTGCTAACAAAACAGCTTGAGGTTCAAGTCCACCCAAAGGTGCTTGGTGACCTACTTCTGAAAAATCAGCCACTGAAAACCCCATGGAGCACAGTTCTACTCTGACACACATGGGGTCACTATGAGTCGGAGACAACTCGATGGCAGCTGGTTTACAAACGCTAAGGAAAAGGCATGGTATTTAAGAAAGGAAACGGTTGTCTTAGCAAGGAAAACCATTTAATTATTAGGATATGCCACAAGCCAAAAGAAAAACTCTGTAATTGTACCCTCTGGAAAGTCTGTCCATATTAGGGAATGGAACCCCCCAAAACAAAAACATCTGCCCGTACCTAAACTCCCAACCTGCCCTCAGATTGGGGCATATTTAGCCAATCATACTGTCCTGTCTGAGTAGAGCTGTGGGTTGAACAGGGTAGAACACTGTTTTCACACCATGTGCCAAAGGGACCTCAGACCTAAAAGCAGGTGCCTAAGAGACTGCTCTGCTTTTTTGTTTCCTCAATTTGACATCATTATGATGGGTGGAGTCAGAACATTCTCCAATACACAATCCGATGAGAAGGCCCAGTTTTTGCTCCATGCAGTTCTAAAGAGTGCCAAATTCTCCAGTACAAGTTTTGCAGGAATTAAGTCAAGCAGCTTGGACTGTGACTCAGGTTTGTGAGAGTGGAAGCTTTGGGACCAAAACTGTACAAAGGATTATTTTGGTCTGAGGATGTCCTTCATTAGTCAAGTGCTAACAGTACGATGTAGGTTGGACAATTTAAAATTTCTCATAACCTCCTACACCAATCAGGAGAAACCAGCTTTTTAAAAAGCGTATGTGAAAAATTAAGAGAGTCAAGGTCTAAGGAAATGTCTACGAATCTAGATTGGCAATATTTCTTTCCACAGAGCATTCCCAACCATTTAATAAGACTTTTATATCTGTATCATGCTTTGTAAACTGCAAAGTCCTCTGATGTACTTTTCAACCTCATAACAAAGCTATGAAGGAGAAAAGGCAGGTAATGCCTTTTTACAATAACTAAAGTTCAGTATATTTTAAAGGATAGACGCATCCATAATCATTCCCCAATTCAGACATGAACTAGTCCATTCAATAAGCAAAAATTTCCAATTTGCAAAGCCGCGTGCTAGGTGGTGAATGAATAAACCAGTGAATGGAAAACTAAGTAAATTCTAGAAAAAAACAACAATGAAGGTGGCAGGTGGACAAAAGAAAGTGTCCAAAATACAACTATGAAAGTGTCAGGACTTATCAGCAAACAGTTATTCATGTCCTTTCCTATTGAGTTTAACGCTATTTGAGTAATCGGAAAGCAAGTCAATGTCTATGAGAGGCATCTGTCTTTCCTACCGATCATGGAACACTGCATCCTCTTTTCTTAGAGGGAGCTTTGTCCCAGGTACTCAGCTTGCATAACCTGCTCTTCTGTATGGGACTCCCTACTGTGGATGAACTGTCTTGCTCCATGACAAATTGGGAACAAGAAATGACGCAAAATCATACAAAGTGCCTGAATATGAAGATGGGGCCCATGGAGGGCATGGTCCCACCTCTAAAACAGCCTTTCTCCAAAAACAAGGCCAAAGTTTCCTCCAGCTTCCTGTATTGGTTCCCCAAATGAGCTGGGTCCATTTAAATCACACACGATGCATGGAACACACTTCCACAAAAGCCGATGCTACAATTGCCTGGATGTCAGAAAGTTTAAGAAGTAAAAATGACCCTCTTCTCGTCTACTGATTTCAAAACATCAATTCTGGCGCTAGAGGGACTTGTAGAAAAGGTTAAGAATTGAGTTTCGCATGCTTATTTTTGTCGTTGACAACAGAGCTGCTCTCTGCAAGTATTCTGGAAAATTCATAACGTCCAGGCCAATGTATTTATAGCAAATTAAAGCAATGCTTTATTATGATGATTATTTCCTTGGTTACAGTGTTGATGCTGAAAATTTAGGGAAAATAAAGCCCTTGTTATCAAGCTTGTGAAAGATTCTAAGCTAACAGAAAGTTCAGTCTTGATTCCAGGGCAGTTAATTAAGGTTGACCAAGTCAGGCAGAAGTAAATTAACTTGGCTGATCAATTATTTATATGAAGCAGAATAAATGCCCTTAAAAGAACTTGGGCTGTTCATGAGAGGATGTGTAAATTAAACTAAACATAGATTTGTAAAATCCGTTTCAACTTCTATGGGGAGAAGAGTAGAAAAGTTAATAGTGAAATCACTTTTAGGGAAATGACGAGAGTGACTACACAGTCGTCTCCCTGTCCCATCCCCCCCATCCAAAAGGAAAAAATCTCTCTTATTGTTCACGCATGTATAAGGAAAGAAGGAAAATGACAAGCAATTTTGGAGGTAACAGAAGCCTGAAGGAAGGAAGGAGGGAAAGAAGGAAAGAAGTCTAAGAATTGAGAGACTGTGAATTTCAATATTTTAGCCCCTGTGGCTATTACTTCATCAACTGTTCACTCCATGCAGAATTTTAGAATGGAAAAGAATGAAGGGGCATGAGGGGATAGCTTTAGTTCTAAGAGTAGCACTT